GGGGGGGGGACGAATTGAGAGTCCTTTTGAACTGAGAGGCTTCCAAGAGTAGACCACCTGCACCCCCCACCCCTCCCTTACCGAATCTTATTTTTTTCTCCTGAAAAAAAAAACCTTTAAAAAGACGATCACGCTTGAAAAATAAGGGGAAAAAAGAGGACAGGATCCAAACAATAGAATGTAGCTTCCTCCAGGTGAATTTAACTGAAGAGAAAAAAACGAAAGTATACACTCGTCGGTACATCTTGTCTGAGCCCCTAACCAGTTGTAGTAAAACAAGCATTGGTAGTGGTCCTACGTAAATGGTCTTCTAAACGAGTGTGTCTGGCGTACATCTGTTAGAACGTAATTAGTGTGCTTGTGTGTGCGTTTGTGTTTGGACATGTAGATGCGTGTGTGTGTGTGTGTGTGTGTGTGTGTCCTTGTGTGTGTGTGTGTGCGTGTGTGTGTTTGTGTGTTTGTGTGTTTGTGTGAGGTTGTGTGTATTTGTGTGAGGTTGTGTGTGTTTGTGTGTGTTCTGCATGCGTATGTCTGTGAGTGCATGTTTGAGTATATGTGTGTGCATGTGAGGGGAGATAGATTCTTAATCCTTTAATTGGGAAGACACATTTCTCTTTGACTTTAAGAACAAGCAGTAATTGCTCTAGGTGTATATTTCCTAAATTTTCTTTTGTTTATTTGGAAAAAAATGGCAGTGATCCAGCTTTGGAAAACACTAACGAATACATATACATATGATTTATTTTAGTAAGTGTTTTACGGCACTTGCAACACAATAAGGGCATGCAAGTCCCGAAGATTAGACACGTTACAAGAGAGTAACAAGCACCCGAAAGAATGAGAAGATATAAAGACATCTTTTAATAGGAAAGAAGGAGCAGACGACACCAGAGCACCCATCAACAACCCACACTGATCAATACGTCTACTCAGTAGTAAAGAGGTTCGTCTGAACAGACAAGCGTCTGAATAAGATACCAATTTATGGACGGCAGGTCAGTCCGACCCTTATTTTAACGAAGTGTCTTTCTTCGCTGAAGCAGCTGATGTATACCGATATAAAGATCAGTAATTTCCCTTTCTCTATCTCTCTCTCA